TCCCTGTTAAGAGCTGCTGCATTGGAATTGTTTGCTTTATCCTTCGGTATGGTCTAAAATAAGGGGGTTTTAGATAAAGAGATGTTATCAGAGCTTCCTTATCAGTTATGTGCATGGGAAAATTCTGAGCTGATAAGAATGGCTCACACTGAAATGAGAAGAATGACACACATGGAGAGAGGAAGAAACTGGAGTAGGTGACAGTGATTTTTTTTTTTTTTTTTTTTTTTTTTTTTTGGTGGAATCAGGGATTGAACTCAGGCTGCCAGGAAGCACTTATTCTACTGAGCTATCTCCCCAGCCCCCAAGGTGACAGTGATGAAGAGGGATGAGGCAAATACAAAGGAACAGTAATCCTCCCATAATTCTGAAGAGAAAGAGCCACATTGGCACCTGACCAATGGGAGCATGAAGTGAAGGTCATTCTGCAAAGAGGAACATGGCTTTAGTCCTGGCTGTGGATGGGGTAGCTGCAGACTGTGGGGCAGACACTTCATCCCAGCATGGAAGCTGGTTTCACGTTCTTTAGGGGAAAAATGCGCATGCAGTCCTCAGAGGAGCTGACAATCATGGGAAAAGGCTCGAGACTCCATTTAGCCATGTGCTTGTTTTGACCCTGAATATATTAACTTGAGACTGTCTAGAAAATAGGACTATGAATTACAGAGTCAGTTCCATGGCTTTAGTTTTTATATTAACAAGTATTTTTATAGTTTTCTAACTTTTCTTAAACAGATATCAGGAATAAAGTTATATGGACTGGGGTGGCAGGGCAGTGGTAGAGTACTTGTGCACCATGTAAGAGCCTTGGGTTCAAGCCCCAACACCCAGGGAAAGGGAAGAGGAAGGAAAGCAACTTAGACTAAATTTCTTATATTTGAACTTTCTTCCAGGTTTCTGCCAAGGGCTCATCTGCTTGGGTTATGTGCTTTACATGTGCCCTTGTAAGATATGCCAAGTACCACTGTTTATGCATATTAACTTCTTGAATTCTTCCCATGTCCAAGTAACTATGTCTTCTTTCACAGGTATGAGACCTGAGTCCAGATAGGAGATGCAATTTTCTGAAAGTCACTTGGTTAGAAAAGACCCAAGAGTCAGCTCAATCAGAGTCCACAACTTGTGATCTCAGCTAGGTCATTCAGTAATGTGATTCTCTAGGTACTTCTGAGACTCTCAAGGAAGAAACATGTTATCTGCTGCTAAATGTGTAATAGCTAATTTCCTTCCACCTAAGAAATAATGAATGGCTCAGTGCAACCTAAGGAGAACCAGGTTTGTTAACAAGCATAATCCATATGTTTGATTCATTCTTATTCAGGTAGCTAACTGTTGATTGACCAAGGCTGTGCAGGATAATGCTGCTTCCAGTTCGCAGTAACCCCTAAAGCTGTGGCCGATAAGTGGATGGTTGACCCAGTTTGTTACACTACAGGTTATACTCAGTTTAGTATAACCTGTTATGCTACAGGTTATACTCAGAGAGCAGAAAAGACAGTATTTCTGCACTTTATGATGAAAGTGGGTACAAAGGCCCCTAGAACACACCTGTATTTTTTACTGTGCTCTAACTATTACCCTCCTATAAACTTTTAATCTCATCCCAAAGCCTAGCTCTACAAATGAACAACAAAGGAAGACAGCAGTTCCAAGAACTCAACTTAAGTGCTCTCTGATCTCTACTGGGACTGGAAAACAGCAGCAAACTTATTTAACACTCCTGAGCCCCAGTCCTCTCATCAGCAGAAGGAAGCAACAGTGACCATCCTTGAGGCCTCCCATGGATAGCCAATGAGTTAACTCCTGGGAAGTTACCTAAGGGACACTGGAGCACAGCGTTCGAGGCTAAATTTTTTCTGGGTTCCCTTTACTTTGTATATGGTAGATTTCATCATAAAGTGCAGAAATATTGTCTTTTCTGCTCTCTGAGTATAACCTATAGGGTCACAAACTGGGTCAACCATCCACTTATCAGCCACAGCTTTAGGGATTACTGCGAACTGGAAGCAGCATTATCCTGCAGATGAGAGGAAGTCAGATATACTGGATTAACATCCTGGCTTCTTTCCCAGCAAAGCTCTAGAGTTTCCAGGAAACTCTTCAGATTCCAGTCTATGGCGTCATGCTGAGTTTGATTACTGAAAAGTTCTCTTTTCACCTAAAGATGCTCATTGTATAGATGTCTGAGATGAGTCTGGCTATTGGAGGACTTTAGGTATTTATTTGGTCTATGCATTTTGCTCAGTATAGTAGGATGTATTCTGGATCAGGGACTCATTATATAGACGGTATACCAGTAATCCTGTACCTCTAAAGGATTTGGATGGCATTCATGCATAAATAAAAGCCAAATAGATTCATAAGAGTACACCACACTTGCTAAATAATGTTCACATTACAAGTTATGCAAAGCACATTTATTACTCTCATTGGTCCACATATACCAATTTAGATCTTGCTCACGCATTTCAAATCCTTTAAGCTGAGAGTAATGTTTTCAATTACTATTTCATAAGCAAATAAAATGTTCTTCAATAGGCCAGTGAGCAATTGTCCTGGCCTCTGGACTACAGGAACTGATAAATATTTTAAACAGGGTTCTCCTCACGTAAAACATGGTATAAGTAATATATTAAAATACGGGTTTCTTACTGGAAAATAACCTTTAAATCTCCAGGAAGGTTTCTTGGGGGAATCTCCTTTTCAACTTGAACTTTCACAGACCTAAAGTACAGGTAGAGGTGTTTCCTCTAAGCTTCAAAATTAACACGGAAATAAACTAATTTTTAGATGATTATTAAAATATCTAAGTTAAGACTCTTCTACATTGGTGCCAATAATTTTCAGCTTGTTTATATACAAAACTTTTATAAAAAGATGTATAATTAAAATAGTAGTAATTTTATTACTATGTTACTACCACTAGTATTATCAGTAATAATTGTAACAATAGTACTTTATTTCCCTTTTTATAGGAGCAATTTTCATAGTAATATATCATTTCTAATTTGCTAGATGAAAGTCTATATACATCAAAAAAGTATGTGTTTTTTTCCTTTGGTTTTCTTCAAATAATGTAGTTTATTATTTACTGTGGACTTCTCCATATAGTCTTACCTTATGAATATATATTTTGGTATCTGGCCAGATCGCCTGGGTGAGGGGACAGGAACCAGACTCTGTGTAATGAAATCGCCTTCCATCAAATGAAACAGACTTTGCTGTGAGTGCCAGCCACAAAGCCAGAAGCCACCTCTCCGTTCTATTTTTAAAGTACTAGGGCAAATTGACACTGCTCCAGACTTTACTAGAAGCTGTCTTCTTCTACCTGGGCTAACTCTCTGGCTACTTCTAAACATTAGGTTCCTCGTTTTTCTTTCTAACTATAGAAATATATTCTTTAAAAAAAGAGAAGTATACGAGATGTAACATGTAAGACATGGCCCTAAGTTTTGCCAAGTGGGTGAGTGGAAGTTTCCCTTTAGGTTATCAGCACATCTCAGATACGCACTCAGACAACGCTGGGTGCCTGGGATCGATGATCTCAGGCCTTAAGAACTGACTTTTTACCACTATAGTGCAAGTCCATCAGCAGGAAGACTTGCTCTTTCTTCTAAGGGCCCTGTCTGTATTGGGAGCCACACTTAGATCTTATATACTGTGTTTTATTTTCTTCAGAGGAGTAACCTCTGTGCTCTGAAATCACTCTCACACAAGAAGAGTGAATTTGCACCCACTTCTGAAGCTTTCTAGTTACTTCTAAGAGACATGGCAGAAGGATTTCCTTCTGGAAGCAAGGTTCTGGAGTTGCATAATCAATGATTCTCGCAGTCACTGCATTTGGAAATCTTCGGAGCCTGGAAGTGTGGCGCCTACACACACACACACACACACACACACACACACACACACACAGAAAGACACAGACACACACACAGAGACACACACACAGAGACACACACACGCCCCCTTTGTAGGAACAAAGACCTCCCCACCTCTCCAGCCCATGCCTACCCCTGGGGAGGGACCCTGCCCTTCCCAGCTCCTGCCTTCCTCTCTTCCTCTGTCTGCTTTCCCAACTTCCAGTTCTAGGCTAGGCTTCACGGTCACGTGGTGTAGATGGAGAAAAGGGCAGGTTCACAAGAGGCAACACAGCTCAGAGGAATGAGGCAATTCTGATGTGTCCGGGAAAGCAAGGGATTCATTCGAGACTGTGCGGCTCCCCGCCACCCCCAGCCCTGCAGGGCTGTGCCCACACTAATGGTAAAGATTGCAGCGGTGCGCTGGAGAAGTGACACTGAAGCTTTTTGGTTCCATGCGAGTTAAGAGCTGCTATTTGTATGCTGTAAGGACAGATGGAGAACTGGAGATCAGTGGATGAGGAGTCTTAAAGGCAAACCAAAACTGGTTCCTACAAATGAGGACCCACATAAATAGACAAAACTGCAGAGTTTGCTTTGCTTGGATCCAGGGTCGGGCTCTACACGCAGGAGTTTCTCCCCACTGCTCGGGCTCACCGTGGGAACGCACGGCAGGCTGCTTCTCCCAGGCCTGCCTGTGACCCGCAGCAGGGTCTGTGAGTCTGCCCCACATAAGGTCAAACTAATATCCTTTCCTTTACCCTTTTAAGTCTTCTTCCTTTATATCAGCTTCTGGAGTTCTAGCACCCAAGGGAAATGTATGGATGTGGAAGTTCCCATTTTATTAGTGCTAAAACAGCCAAAGGGTCCACACTAACTGTAGAGAAAAAAATTTCAAGAATCAGTGAGCGGTATTATGTTCCAAGATCCAGTGAGCCGTGGTTTGCTTTTCAGACAGTTCAAGCAGGCACAAAGTGCGTGACAGCATCTTGGGTGGCCCGTGGACAAGCCACGTGTGTCAGAGTTTCCAAAAAGCAGCCCGGATTTGCAAACCTAGGGGTGGGGTGCAATAGTGGGGTGCTCAGGAGGACCCGGCTCCTGAGAGTGGTATTTCGGGAGGCTGGTCAGGGCAGCACGTACCGGGCAGGCGGCGAGGCTCTGCTCCCACTGCGTCATGCTGAGGCTCTCCTCCAGGCTGGTGCACTTGCTCATCACCGCATCCCAGCCGCAGTACGGATCCTGGGCCCCGATGCAGGAGCTGCAAACACACAGCACAGGGATCAAGAGAGGCAGCAACATCTGTCCAGTGACATGCGAGCCAAGGCCAGCCTGGCCCTCGTGTGACATCTCCGGTCACCAGTGACACTTTACAGCTCTCTGTGCACACCAATGTCTAGCCACCAGTCAGTTGCTTGTTATGGCTGAATTACCTATATGGTATCTAACATGCAGGACAGATGACCAAGTGTGCGGACTGAAACATCTAGGTGACACGAATGGAACCAGAACCAACTTTGCAAAGCGCAAAAATGCTAATAATATAGTTAGCACCACCATGACCCCACCGTGACGATGATCTTCTCATCTCCTTAGTAACAGGGGAAGTCGGTCGAACTTTTATGGAGACAACCAACTCTGACATTACCTAGACACACATCTGTGATAGGCAGGACTTAGTCTTTTCACTTTATTTTGTGTATCAGTAAAACCATCATAGCTATCACCATCACTTTCCTGACGAGCTAGCCGAGGCACAGAGAATTTTAAAAAGTGCCTCAAGGACAAGAAAGTGCATCTAGTTGCAATTGGTTCTAATTAACTGTGGTAGAGAAACTTTGCCTTTAAGTAATGCAGCTTTAAAATGTTCTAAAAATTTAATAGTAGATTTCTGCAGCTACATCTAGAGTATTGCATCAGAACTTGTACATGGTGATTATATTAGCTACAAATGGGCCTCATTAGGTGAAGACACTGGCCCCGACTAACCAATAGGAGAATCATGAAGAGGGCAAGGGAAGGCAGAGATCACAGAGACCGAGCCCAAAATACACGGGAGGCATCACAGTCAGAGAGGGCCGTGAACATCTGGAAATTCCCTGAAGGGGCCAGCCAGTCAGATCGTGGGAAACAGGCGTGAGAA